TAAGAAACGCACTCTTTAGTGTTTCCAGGTTGTGATCTTCTGGAATATGTAGTGGACGGCAGAATTAGCCAAAAAATGCAACGCATCTGAGCATTTTACAGCATCGAAAAATAAAAAAATAGGACAAACCAGCCAGCGAGGTGAGCGAGGCAAATTTTAACGTTAGTTATAGCGTGAGAAAGAAACGACGACACAGCTGAGACAAGAAGGACACGAGTGCTAACTTCCAACTGAGTTTATTGCGCAGAGCGCGAAAATATATAGAGGAGACAGTAACCATGTGACAAAAAAATTATATGGCACGAAGAGCAATACATGAGCAAGAGAAAAACAAAAACAAAAAACAAGAAAACAAAAGCGCAGAAAAAGGCAGAGAAAAGTCTATAAGAAATTGAACCAGAAAAGTAAAGATAATATAACTACTTGCCCGCACCAAAACCTTTGAGGATTCCTTCTCGGACAGAGACACGGAGGGCTTGCTAATGCAAGACACCTGTTCGCATGCCATCTGCGCGGCCTCGACATCAGGTGCGCTCATCTTTGTGCTTAATTGTACAGCGTCGCTGTGTCCTTGAAAAGGGGCACACTGCAGTTGCACTCTGTGCCGTGCTGAGCAAGAAAACCATCTTTCCCGTTTTTAACATTGTTAGTGCGTGTTCTGTCAGTCGATCATTCAGACACCTTCCAGTCGTTTCGACATAACAAGCACCGCATGAAAGGGGGGTCTGATAGACAACTTCTCGGGAGCATGCCGCATATATCTGTTTCTATGTTGAACTCTGCATTCGATTGATGACTGCGTTGTCAGGGGGTTTGTAGATTTGGTGAGGCCGATTAATTTGAACGGTGCCGAGAACAGGACACGAACTCCAACTCGTTTTCCGATTTTCTTGAGCCTGAGTGATATTTGGTGTTTGCTTGGAATCACGGCTATCCTTTCACGCTCTGTATCCGTGTTGCTCGGATTATGTCGCAGCCTCTGCTCTGCCTTATTAGTCCGCAGGATAGTCTCAGCAGCAAAAGCAATAAACGCCTCGGGGAAACCCGAAGCCTTAAGCCGGAAAACTTGAGCTTTGAAGCTCGCAGTGATATTGTGGGCACACGACCTATTTAAGGCATTTTCAAGACAGGTTCGTGCTCGCTTAACTAACTTGCTGTGAGCTAAAAAACAGTCTTAAATCCAAAAAGCGTAATTTTTTCATTCTCGGGCATTTCATGTGTCAACACAAGAGGCTTTAAACAATCTTCAAACACACCTATCGTTTGAGTCGCAATCGAGTAGAGCATAGAAGGGTTATTATTTAGAAGAACCAAGAAATCATTCACGTATTTGAATACTTTGACGACATGCGAGCCTTCTAACTTTTTTTGCAGTTTTTCGCCTATTTTTGCCAATAGGAGATCACTGAGTAGAGGTGCTATACATGAGCCGATTGAAACACCCCCTTTTTATAGCTCACAGCACATTTGTTGGTGTTTGCTTGCTTGCTTTATCCTTTCCTTTCTGACTTTCACCCACTAAGGGGAATTGGCCAAGAGGCCGGTGGTTAATGCAAGTCGATACTTTTAGGTTTTCTAGACTAGGGGAACAGGATTACTTTGTTTTGACTGTGACAAAATTAATTTGGCGCAATGTAAAAAAAAGGGGGGGGGGGGCGAAGAGAGAAATAATAGAATTTGTTGAATAGTATCTGAGGTGTAATCGTTATATGAAATTCTTCTGAAGGTTAAATCATTGCAGTGTAACAGCTAAATATTAAATGGTAGATTGGCTAGTAAAATTCGAGAGCTGATCAATGGCTCAGCAAACATGAACCACGTGTTCAGAAACCTTTACTTCCTTTTCTTCCACCCAGAGCAAGTTAGTCCTTTCACGGCTATTCTTTCACGCTCTGTATTCGTGTTGCTCAAATTATGTCGCTGCCTCTGCTCTGCCTTATTAGTCCGCAGGATAGTCTCAGCAACGAAAGCGATAAACGCCTCGGGGAAACCCGAAGCCTTAAGCAAGGAAACTTGAGCTTTGAAGCTCCGGGCTTTTCCACAGCTTAAGGCTTAACTACTGTGAGCAGACATCAACAGTATTCAGGCTAAGAAGGTGTTTTTCAGCTATAGTAAAAACAAGAAAGTCATGCCCACGCCCCACTCTCAGGTGTTACTATAGCCGTACCACCCCACCCCCAACCCCGATAGGGGAGAGGTCTGTGAGGGGTTGTGAGGGGTAGGCACCTCGAAAACAGGATCTCGCATCCTACACGCGAATTAGCCAAGTCACACAAGCAGACTGAACTGAAGACTAAACTTTTTTTAAATCTACTACTGTTTGAGCCATTTAGTTTCTTGTTGCGACCGTGCACACTGCATTTCAAGTGCTTATTCATCACAGGCTGAGAGGGTAATAGCTTGTTATCATAAATTGCAAATAATTTGACACTTTATTTCGATACTGCATTTTTTGGGTGAGCTTTCCAAGCACCTGAGGGAGGGGAGCAAGCAAGAATTTTGGGGAAGGCTCCAGTTCAACAGTGCCCTCCCCCCTTGCCACCCCTGCATGACGCACGCTGGCTACGTGCATTCAAGTGCGCCGGAGTGGAGAAATCAGCCTGGAGTTCTTTTGCTGCCATTTTGCGAAGAAAAATGGCAAGTTGAGCAACTATGAGACTCGCGTTGCTTTGGCAAAACAGATCACCGTGGCCACGCATATATATGCATATCAAAGGCAATCGTGGAAATGTTCTTCCTTTGTTTTTCTTTTTTTCGCTGCAGTGCTATATTTACGAGCTCATTGTGGCAATGGCAGCAATAGCAGGAATGCGAAACTGCAACAGAAACAGCCATACGCGATCAGCTGGAAAACAACGTCGATCAGCTGACTGCCATGAGGGATTGGTTTTTTTCGACAACTTAACGGTTACTGCCACCTTAATAGCTTCCGTCACTGTGCAAATCTCCGGTCAACGATTCAGTCAGTTCAACGGTCATCGATCACGACAAAGTGAAACTGACATCACGATAACAGCTGACAAACATACCAACTTGCTGCGCGTCGAGAGTTTCACGATTACTATTGTGTGCCTGTGTTTCGTTCACAGTTTCGAGCTGGTACATCTGTGGCTGTGTGTGCTGTCCCTGTTTTCAGTGTGAGACGTCGATCGCTTTGCTGCTCCTGCGCTGCAAGTGGAACATATGACACACATACTTCATTGATTGTGGCAATCCGAAACTGCAGCCGGAGCAGTAGTATGCGGTCAGCTGACTGTCATGAGTGACGCGCTTGTTCCAGCAAATCGGCTGTCACAGCCACCTTAGTTGTTGCCATTACTGCACCCATCTCTGCTCAACGATTGCGTCAGCTTGCAGGCACGAATACACTCGACGGTCATCGATCACGACGAAATAAAAGTGTATGCACGTCATCACGACAACAGCCGAAAAACATATCGACTTGCTGTACGTCGAGGGCGAGTGCAATTTTGTGGTTACTGTTGCGAGTTTCTGCGCGCCGGTAACAGATTCGTGCTGTTATTTCGGCTGGTTTGTGTGACGTTCGCGTCATCAGCACACGTGAACTGCTCTGCTACTCAAATTGTATGTATATAGCAAGCTGTGCCTGAAGAGCTGTATTGATGCTGAGTGCACTGTAACTATATGCGATTCGCAGCGTGATCTAAGTTGAGCAGAAAAAAAAAATCACAATGCCAGTCACGCCGTGCCCAAGGTGCACATTTTGGGGAACTTCCATCAAACGGGTCGTTAACCACATGAGAGTCCACAGCATCGAGCCAGATTTTCACGTGTTGTGTGGAATAGACGGCTGTGCAGCATCATTTCGGCGTTACTTCGCCTATAAGAAACACGTGTATCGAATTCACAGAAATGCTGCTGGCATTATAGTCAACGAACTTGCACCTGACTGCGACTCAAGCGAACAAACTGAAGATATTTCTATTCCCATTGTTACAAACTTGTCAGAGGCACACAGTCATGATGCTGCCTCAAACATTTGTTTCATCACCAAAATCAACAAACAGCTGGCAATGTTCTATGTTAAAATAACTGAAAAGCTAAAACAGGTATCCAGCACCACTGATAAAATTTGCACCGTGAAATCTCTGATACAAGATGTCATTGATGGTTTGATGCAAAGGACAGTGCAGCTCCTTATGGAAGGAAGTGTGGCACCAGGCACAGCGGAAAATGTCGTGCGTCAGCTGAATGCTACTGATATAGTGAGCAACATGTTTTCTGATTTGGAAAGCACCCACATGAGAAAAAAGTATATATCAGAACACTTTAATTACACCGAGGTTAATCAAGTTCCACTGCAGACTGCCAATTACAGAGACATCGAACGCTATGTTCCTACTTCAAAGCTGCTTGTGAACTTCCTGAAATCTGAAGACTTGTTGGAATGCATTTCACAGCCTACTGCGAAGCCTCAAGAACTGTTGTGCGACTTCACCGATGGTGATGCATTCAGCAGGTACGACCACCTTACTCGCGACAGCAGTAACAACACGATATTTCTGCTGTTGTATACTGATGAACTGGAGCTTGTGAATTCACTTGGTGTTGCAGCTGGACGGCACAAAATTTTACCTGTCTACTTCTCTGTTTTGAATCTGCATCCCCGACACTGCTCAAAACTTTGCTCAATTCACCTGCTTCTGGTTGTGGAATACCGCGTCGTGTTACGACATGGCATGAAAAAGGTGCTGCAGCCACTCTTGCAAGACTTAAATTTGATACAACAAAATGGGTTGCATTCTGGGAATCTGCACTTTAATGTTGGAGTCGTGGCTTTCATTTTAGACAACATTTCAATGCACTGCTTAGCAGGCCTTCAGTGCAGCTTTAGCAGAGGCAGAGTCTGCCGTTACTGCTTAGCATCGCACAAACAACTGCGAATGCTGCGCAGATCGGATGGCTGTGTCGAAAGAACAAGTGAAACATACAAGAGCCATCTAGAAGCATTTGTACTTGACCCAACTGTGAATGGGCCCATGTACGGCATCGCAAGTGCTTCACCACTGCAAACTCTTGAGCACTTTGACATCACAGAACAACTTCCTCCCGATGCCATGCATGACATACTCGAAGGCGGTATGGAGTGTGTCATTCGCCATGTTCTGGGAGGCTTAGTTGGTGACCGAGTGATCCGTAAACAGGACCTTGAAAGGATATCGTCCTTCAAGTATGGCTTTCATGACAAAAAGGCCACACCTCTTGCCGTTACGATTGCATTTCTTAATGACAAAGCCCCCATGAGGGGATCAGCTAGCCAGAAATGGTGCTTGTTTCGTCTGCTTCCCGAGATATATGCTGAAGTTGTTCCTGAAGGCACTTCTCACTGGGAGGTGTACTTGGCATACAGACACATTGCTGACATTATTTTGGCAGAGAAAATCCCAAGGAGCTGTGTGCCATATCTACAGGTGAAGGTGGAGGAGTTTCTCGAGCTGTATACAGTGCAGTACCCAAATGCAGCAGTGACACCAAAACTGCACTTCTTGCTACACTATCCAAAGTATATTCTCAAGTATGGCCTACCGCGCCGCTACTGGGGCACGCGATTTGAGGCTAAACATTCTTATTTTAAGAGCATTGCATCCAAGGCCAAGAACTTCAAGAACATCTGTCTTACACTTGCAACACGTCACCAACTTCTTCTGGCATATGAGCTGTCGGGCAACATGTTGAACTCAGATCTTGAAACAACTGGAGCAAAGCAGCTTAATCTAGGAGATCTTCCAGAACAACAGCAGTTGGCTCTTTGTAAAGTGTCTGAAGAGGAGTTCATCTCCACAGCTACAACCGCTAGCGACGGTGGTTACTATTATCGCACAGGTGACACGTTTGTCCACAGTGTGCACGATGGTGAGCCGCAGTTCATGCAAATTGAAAGAGTCCTTGTTGTTATCGGTTCATTAGTGCTCCTATGCAAGCCCCTTGAAACTCTGCGATGCAGTGAACACAGATCTTCTTACATTGTCAAGGCATCTGCTGCCTTAGTTGCAATAATTCCCGATCACAAACAGGGTTTCTACCCGCTTGACCTTTATTCCAGCCATGGATTTTGTGAGATTGTGACGCACTATGCTGTTCTCTAGACTAGCTTTGGCAAACTTATTTTACAAGCTTCACGGATAGGGGCCAAGGTTGCCTGCATATTTTTGGCTTACGAGTTAACTTACTATTTTTCTGCCTATTTTTCTTATTATATATTATATTATGCCTATTTTTTCTTCTTGTTCACTCACACATCTTTGTTACGCTGTAACCAAGTGCCAACCTTCTGACAGAGTAACAACTAAAAAGTGTCATGGAACAGAAGCTCCAATGCACAGTTAGGAGTACAGTATTTCAATGTCTTCACACCTTGCCAGCTAATAACTGCACTGATGCAAACTTCAGTGTAGATTATCATTAGGTGTGAGGCATTCTTTCAACAGGTTCGCTAAAGCTGTGTTTCTGCAATTCTAATATGAAGATTCTATATACAGAAATTTGTCATTATTTACATGTGACACTATGCTTGGTTGTCAGTCTCTACTAACTGCTTTTAGGTTCCCTGTTTTCTTTCATGTTCATTGATAAGCATGGGCACTGTCAGGGGGCTGCAAAAGGCGCACTTGCTCCCTTCAAGCTATGCACTTACCCCTCACCCAAAATACACCACCAATTTTTCCCTTTCTCTGCTGCAATGCAGCGGAAGTTTGCACCCCACAAAATCCTGCCGGCTTTCATGATCTTAAGTGTGCTTTTGTGAGGTGATAGTATATTGGCTATAGATTTTGTTTTTGTACAGTAATTCACCACTTTATTAGTTAGTACAAAATGACAAGCTTTTTTTATGTGGTAACCGAAGCTTGTTCATAATCTATTAAAAGCACTGCATGCATTGTACAGCCACATATAAACCATCGTGTACTGCAAAGCCAATGTAGAGCTCCATGTTGAACTCGGATCTTACGACAACTGGAGTTCAGCAGCTCAGTGTAGGAGATCTTCCAAAGGAGCAGCAGTCAGCTCTTCAGAAAGTGACTGAAGAAATTACCCCAGAGTTGACACTTTTGTACACAGCGTGCTCAAGTGCACATCACAGCTGGTTCATGCAAATTGAAAGAGTCCTTGTCATTTATTTATTAGTGCTCGTATGAAAGTCCCTGAAAACCCTGGAATGCAGTGAACAAAGATCCTCTTAAAACGTCAAAGTACTTGATGACTTTGGACTAATTATTCTGGGTGACATACAGGGTTTCTACCCACTTGATGTTTACTCGAGTTGTGAAGTTTGTGAGGTTGTGACACATCAGTATTTTTTAGAATAGTTTTAGCAAGGCTGACTTCACCAGTCCTGCTGACATTTGCCACATTCATTCTAAAAGGTCCAGTCAAGGACACACAAAAGATGTGTAGACACCGCACAAATGTCTACACTTTCTTCTTGTGTCCATGTTTGCATTCTCCGTCTTTAAGAGTAATTACTTACTAACTAGCTCAGCTTTCCTATTATGTGCCATATTGCGTACATCTTTTTGCAAGTGAATATCATAAATAGAGCCTTTGTATGCTTACTTTTTTTGCTTTGTTCTTTGGGGTATCTTTGTCGTACTCTCAACTGATGCATAATATGTTTTTCACAAAGAATGAATGAAACATTAAAAACAAACAGAGGGAAAGCGTTTGTTATTCAAAGAAATTTCCTACCTTACAATTGCAGGGATCATTCTAAAAACAAAACAGTAGATTGAATGAACACTTACATCCTTTCAATTTGAATGTTTTCTGTTCAATGGATCATGCCTTTTACCCTAAACAAAAAAAATTTACAGTCGAACCCCTTTATATGATACATGCGTTCGGTAGTAATAGTCTTATATTAGGTGTCTCATATGAGCAGTGTACAAAGCATGCATTTTCCTATTAACACCTATTTTGATTTGGGCACGCTGGTGTTCCTTATTGCAGTTAGTCTTACATCAGCGTCTCTAATGAATTGGTTCAGCAGTGCATTAAAATCTCATTAATTCAAACTATAACCTTGTTCAAATTAGGCAGAGAGAAAGAGAGAAGAAACTTTATTGAAGTGTCCCTGCTGAGGTCAAAGGTGACGGGCGGCCGGGAGACGGCCGCTCTATAACTCCTTTTCTCAGCAGCAACCAGACCTTCGATCCTGGCAGCGTCTTTAGCCAGCCGGACAGCCCAGCTCTATAGCTGGTTCTCCGGGCACGTGCTGAACAGCAAAGCCTCCCACTGCTCGTCCGTGGTGATTGAGAATGTAGAGTTCGTGCTGTGTTTAACTGAGTGAGTAGCGGCGGGGCAGGCCCATATAATATGGTCGAGCTCAGCGTTAGGCACACCATACGCTTTGCATTGTGGCGTGTCAACAGCGGGGTAAATATGGCTGTACAGTGACGGACAGGGGAAAGTGCGTGTCTGTAATAGACGCCAAGTAGTGGACATCTGCTTACTAAGGCACTTGTCTGGTGGTGGGTATTTAAGTCTGGCCTTGTGGTAATACATACATTAGGATTTCTCCAAAGGTAACCATTCTGTCCCTCGCATTGTCGCGAAACGAGGAGACCATCTCTCGCTCAGCCGCGTGAGGTTGCAAGAGGGTGGTGCTCTGTTGGATGACGCGCCCGGTGGACAAGAGCTCTGGACAATACATAAAAAGTGAAGACAGTCCAGAAAAACCCGGGATGATTGGCAACCTTGATTGCGCTGCAGTGAAACGTAGCTCACCCTTATTGAGACCCCTGCGCATGATTATGGCTGTTCTTTTGACATGTGCATGTTATGAATATCTGACACAACCTTAATGAAAACCTTTAGAAGATATAGTATATGAAAAGACAACTTATCCTCCCAGCAGCAAATTGTCGTTTCAAGCACTTTTTTTTATTTTTTCATATATATCTAATTTATTAAAACACACCTAAAGCAGTACAATTTATAACTCCTATACCTTTCTTGGTTTTATTATCAGCTGGTTTTCATTAAGATTCTGTCAAATAAAGAGAAACAAGCCCTAAGAATTATATTACTTCATTTATACAAATATATTTAGTGAGTTATTGGAGCAAAGATGCATCACGTCAGAGAGTGGCCATATTGACAGCTTCACTTTGGATCAATTTCGAGAAGACATTTATGGATGGCTGTGATGTATCCTTTTAACGTGTGATGCATCAAAACAACAACAACAAAAAACAACACTGCAAGTGCTTTTTAATTTGCTGCATTTCTTTAACATTCATGGTACACATTCCAAAACGTGGGTGTGCTCTTGAAACCAAGACATTTCCTGGATGAAACAAAAGAAAAGCATTACAAAAGGCCATATTCAATTGCAAAAGAATCCAACAAAATGAAAATAGACAAAATGATATCTATTTTCAAATGAAGGATGGTGCAGCATGGTGTCTTTGAAGGTGAGCATATTGGACAGAGATCTGTCAGGATGAGTAAAATTGATACAAACAAAATAAGTTCTCCAACCACATTTAGTGCAAAGTTTCTAATGTTAGAATTAAAAACTAAAAACTGAGGGTCAGTTCTCAGTTGTTAATTTTAACATGAGAAACTTTGGACTATAAACAGCTGTAGAACCTTTTTTATACACGTGCATGTTGCAACAAAACGATACTACAAAACGGCATATTTTTGCATTGCACAGTTTGCATACTTAAAACTGCATTAGAAGGAAAGTTATGCAATGCACACGAAAACTTAATTGTGTGCAAGACATCTTGTAAAAAGACCACTGTACCCTTCGCAGTCTTCCGCTTTATGAACCAAGTTGCCACTGTGATGATAAGAACAACAATAAAAACTCGCGCACGTGCGTAAAGTACGCTTAGAGCACCCCCCCCCCCCCTGTTGCAAAAAAAAAAAACGCCCCCGAAAAAAAAAAAAAAACGGCCTTGCTACAGTCGTCACAGTAAGACACGTCTGTGTGACTCGGCAAGATTGATTGAACGAAATTATCGGTCACTTTGCTTAATGAGTCCGATCAGGATCCAATTTCTCAGCAGTGATAGGCTCACTTTTGCAGCTAGCATAAGAAAGCCAATTGCTACGGTTAAATTCGATCGTGATCATAGTGACCGTGCAACACCGGTATTTTGAATAACGTACGCAAAGACAGTGGTGTATTATCAGACGTGAATGCGATCAAATCTGACCGTGCAGCCACGTATAGAAACTACATAACGGGCAAATGTAGCTTGCAGCTTAGATCGTTTAAGTTATATAATGCTGTCCACATGCCCTCGAAAAAAAAAAAAAAACAACAGAATATTGCTGACAGGAGTAGGCATGGGCGTACGGATTATCAACCAGAAAATGAACTTGCCTGTTTTGCGATCACCTGTCTTGATCGGCGTCAACATCGCACACAGATCGTGAAGAGCCGTTGCTCGCTGAATTGCTCATCTTAAAAATGAAGGTGCTCAATGGCAGTGTTTCAGCAGAGGATTGCCTTTTGTAACCGCAGAAGATAGGGAGTTGCACACAGCTTATAAAATCAATAAATCACGATGCACAGCTTGCACGATGTACGATGCATAACTCAGCTTACGCACGCGAACGAGAAACTAGAGAAACAGTGACGTCTGGGGGAGGAACGTTACTACATCTCTATTTGCCGCAAGAGGGCGCGACGCGTGAAGCTTGCGAGAAGGAGGAACTCGCCAGCCTCGAGGAGGAACGAAGGACGTTTCTCCTTCCTCACTCCCTTTTTTTTAAAGTGTGGTTGGCAGCGGTCGGATACGAAGCTACAGGTGACATCAACAGTCGGCCCAAGGGAAGCAGCTGTCTCGAGACAGGGATCACGTATGGGTGAGGACTTGGTTTTTTCTTTGAGTGAACCAGGTTCTAAAAGAGGGTTAAAATTTAGAACTGGTAGGTAACTTTGCCGAAAGACTCAGTTTCGCCGTTTCGGAAAGTCATTTTGAAAGTAGCGAGCACTCAGTACGATCATGGACTTATGGGAGCTGCAGAAGCCGGACTTGTTGCTGTTGTGTGAGGAATTGGGGATCGATACAAAGGGTTTGGCACGAAAACCCATAATCATTCAAGTGATTAATGATTTGGGGGCTGATGA